AATATCCATTTGGGATTCAGAATTTAAAGTGTTGCACAATGTAGAAAGTATATAATAAGGAGAAAGAAGAAAAATCATTTTAAAGAACATAGTTGGGTGGATTTTTTGTATTTTTTTTTGTTTGGTTGTTTTTTTTATAATTCCTTTGGGCTTGTGATTTTATAGATCTAATATACCAATGAGGACACTGAGAACACCATAAGAACACTGAAAATAATATTCATTCCATGTTTTAGAAACAGTACTCTAAAATATCTTCCTAGTATAAATCAAATAATTCTTTCTCTCCCTTTATCCCCTGTTACCAATTACAGTGGAGCTCAATAATGAATGGATAGAGCCAATTTTTTCAGTAACAAAAGGAAGCAGGTGAGGTGATAATTGCTCTTGTTTTTGAAGGTCTGTTTTGAAGAAGCCCTCACTTAGGATCACAGGCTGAAAGAGTGAATTGAGAATGTGGGTAAAACTGTGAAGTACACTAAAATGCAGGCCAGAGAGCTTTGTATGCAAAGAGAAAGCATCACTTAGGAAAATCAACTTCATTATTGTCTTCATTTTGAACTGGTGTTAATTGGAGAGTAGAGATGTGAGGAATGGTGGCTTAACCTGGGCTTTGGTCTCTGCTGTAACATTCAGCCCTAGATTTTGTCTAGGTTTGACTCTTCCTTATCCTTCAAGTCTCATTCATTTGCTTGATTGCTGCCTGGGGGCTAGTCTCCCTTTCCTGGTCTTTCTGTTCTGCCTCGGTTTTCCTCCCTCAAGGTCACTGCTGCAACCTCCTTTCCATGGTTTTGAGAGGGCAGAAACATTCTCCAACTGTAGTTGAATCTTTCAGTCATCTACAAGAACCTGGCATTGGTACTTCAGAGACAAACATTTAACTGCCATGTGAAATGACTTCCTAAGGGCCAAATTCTGCTTACATTAGTAATGCGAACAGTGCCATTAACTTCACTCTGAATTGATGCTGTTAATTAACATGGTGTTATTTTTCTGTTATTAGTGGTTCTTTTCAAAAGTCATTAAAAATCAGAACACAAAACCAATGTAATAATATTTAATACATGCTACAAATTACTTTAATTATGGAGTAGCATTAAAAGGTGTCTAAAAATACATTAAATATTTTCCTCGTGTTCTTCATACAGGTATGCAATGCTGTGGTTGCCAGAGGGTAGTTACACTATTGCAATGGAAGGACAAGGGTTCCTGAGACTGTCATGTTCTTAAATTTTTCTCTGCACTGTATAAACTCTAAAAAAAAGAACAACAAACCCCAAAACACAAAGAGGTATTTAACTGAATTTTAAAATGCTGACAAGGCACTTAATTCCAGCTTTTACCACGTGCTTTATTTTTTTTTTCCTTTTTTTAAAATATATTTTATTTTCTGGCCATCTTAAAATCTGAGAAGGAATTGGACCTTGTTTTTTGGGGGGTGAATGATGTTTGCTTGTTCCTGCCATGAGAATATGGTAATACCATACAACTACCTATCCATAAGAATTCACTTTAGCTTCAAGGGTCTCAAAGATATTTGAACACATAATGGACACTGGACTTAACTCTGTGATCAAATTAACTTTATTCATATGTAACATAGAAAGCACTGAAACTATCATGAAGAAGTGAATTTAGCTTAAATTCTTGTGACAGGAAAAGAGTAAAGCAGAGCTCACTTAATAAGGTACATTCATTGGCTATTTTACCTCCTTTTACTAACATTTGCTGCATTTTGAATACATCAAACTTATGGTGATCTTCAGCAGAAAAAAAAAGGAACAAATAAAACAAAAACAACACATCAAACAAGTTAATCTATCAATCAGGAACACCTAAGTTGTGTTAGCATCTGATGTCAAGTTCATATACACGTTTGCATGTCTCAGTATAGTAACCAAGCCACAAAAAAAGTCACAAATTAAATGAGAGAGAGCAGAGTAATATATTAGGCTTTTTCTGTCTAGAGATGGCCAAAAAAGAAGAACTAAGAGATAACCTTATTGAAAGGAAAACATCTGGTATAGTCTTAAAATGACACTTGGAAACAAATATCAGAAACACAATAAGCCTGAGAATTAAAGTCATGCAACATAAATGACAAAGGCCATCAAAATATAAAAGTTATGCAGAGCAGAAAAGCCCTTAAACAAGATAATGTTTTTATTCCTCTCTCCCAAACTGTACAAAAATCTACCAAATCAGAAGGTCTAATAAGATCAAGCATCCTTGTCCAATCATGTACATGAATATTTTCAGCATTTCATAATATTCTCATTGGATCCTATATAGAAAATGAATTTGTCTCATGCCCCCTAAAACTGTCATTGATATTGATCTAATTAGGAGCTTCTGCAAATAGACCAGAACCATACACACTGAAGAGGAGTTTAGGAAATCTGTTGCAGAAACGTAGAAAAGCTTTGCTGGGACCCTCTTGACTCCTGAACAATCAAACAACTGAATCAGATTTATTGACAACTCCCATGGTGCTGAGCTCAGAGCAGATTTTCAGCGAAATCTCAGGAGCAGAGCTGCAGGACTGCTGTGCATTCTGTTTCTATATTTAATATAACCCGTAGTTCAGGTCCATCTCTGTGACAGATTTTTCCAACAAGATCATATGTTTTATATGTATAATAAGCCAAAGGATGAGTATCAGCTCCTGATAGAAGGTCCTGCTTGTGGTCTTTCACATCTGAGGATTTTGGGATGACCATGGTGCAGAGCAGAAAATTATGCAATTGTAGGAGAGTACCTGTTTCCCTGGCCTAAAACTTCCTCTTTAAGATATAGATCCTGATCTGAGACACAGCCTAAAATATCAGAGGACCAGGACAGTCTGTGGGGTTAGGTGCACTGGATTTTTAAATCCCTTCCACTCATGACAAATGCACAGATGCCAATGTTGCAGAACAATAGATACATGCCTATTTTTCCCCATTTCATTTTTGCTCTTAATTTCATTTGAATGTAAGATTTCAAACAAAGACTTGAAAAATTTTACCTGAAAGAGGAAGAAGGAAAAAGCTGTGAGAGGAAGAAACCAAATTTCCACTGGAGATTGTTTAACAACCTGAACTAGAGCTGTCATCACCATGAATTTACCGCTATATGATCATGCAGCTCTCTTGTCATATCCTAGGGTATTTGCATGCTCTGCTCTCTGCCACATCTGAAATCCTTATTCTTGATCTGGTTTTATTTCACTTCTGTTCCATAAGAACCACATTTTCTTTTAGCAAAGCAGAAGATATTTGTTAGAACATTTTATAATTCTTTATTTAAAATGGCAAGATATTCAATTCCTCCTTGGATATTAAACATTATCCTCATGGTTACAGATGAGAGAGACACATGTCTCAAATTCAAGATTAATCCTTTCCTCAGGTGATATATATAAAGGGAAATTTCCAAGGTTAAATGCACATCCTATGCAGTTTTAGCTGATTACAGTTTTATGAATGCAATATTAAGAGGTGCCTAATTCCCACTGAAATCATCAAAAATTTCCATCTACTGTGCACATCTCACTGTTAAAGAGACTGTTTTCAAAATGTACCTTTATTTTCAGCAAAAAATGAAACTGCAGTTCTCCCACATCAAATTTGTGGGAACACTCCAGCTTTATGAATTTCCACCCTTCTTTACCCCGTGAACACAGGTAAATGTGGAGGGCTGTTCCATGAGCAAGCAGAGATTAGAGCACCTGGAAAGCAGCAACGAGACACTTGGCTGTTGGTGCTGGTTCACTACAGTTGTGCTTATCACAACAGATAAAACACATGTAACTTTGTCAGTCTCTACACTTCCAGCTCCATTTCCCCTCACAGGTAGGCCAGGCAGCAGTCTTTATTTTAGGCATTACATTTCCAAGGTGGGAAGGACTTGTGCAAAATGACACCTTCTTCACAAGGGACAGCCACAGTCTGGCAGCATCCTCTCAATTTTAGAGGGGGTAGGTGTCTAACTCCTCAAGAAAGAATATATTTGGGCCGGTTAGGATTTTGTCTACCCCCATATGCTCAACAAAACAAGCCAGAGGAAGTGCTGAGGGGATTTCAAGCTACATCTTTATCACGGGTTAGTAAAGTGCCGAAGGCAAGTGTAATCAACCTCATGATTCAAAAGAGGAATGACTCAGACAAAACAGACTGTAAAGGGGATTTTTTTCTTGGAGGACTCCCACACAGGACCCTATGGTTCTCCCATGCTCCACTGTGTCTTCTGCACCATGAAGTGCTCCCAACAGCTAAAATCTTCCCCCCCCCAAAAATGTGTGTTATTTCCTGTTTTCTTCAAGCCCCAATTCTGTGAGTGCTTATATGAAGTTGCAACCTGTTTCTAGCTAGAATCACAGCATAGAAGATTATTTTGGGTAAGACTGCTAATAGCAGAAACTCTCATGGTGCTGTCTCCCCCACAAGTAGTTTCCTTTTCCCATTCAAGCATTCTTTCCTCCTTGCTCCAGTTTTTCTTACAGCCCTTCTATTTCCCAGGATGATGTCTGCCCTGGAATCTGTGTATAAAGTTCCTGAACTGTACGTAAAGTCATGACTTTATAATGTAAGAACTTTTGACATTCACAGAACTCATTTACACTTACAAGCATCAAACAGAGAATCCCACAAAGCCCAGTGACCTGCCTTGGAGGAGTGTTTATCAGTCTAGCCTCTTTTACCAGTAAGGAAACTGGGACAGAAGCTTTTTCAGACCTAACAGAAAGATCAACCAGTGAACTAGAGATGGAAATAAGAGGATAATCCAGGAGTTATTGACTCCAACCATGTGGACACTGCACCAATCAACTCTGTTTCAAAATGGATAAGCTTTTTGCATATGGATTTTAAATATCTCAAAATCGGATAACAATTTCAACAACGGTGTTCACTAGTGCTTTCAAGAGGCAGAGATTTCTGACGTTTTCCAACCTTCAGTAAATGAAAACATCTCAGAACTACCATTTACTTGTACAGTGACATTTTTTCCCTCCTTTCCAGCAGGTGGAAGTGGTAACAGAGCCAAGAAAGAGCTATTCCTTGTTGAAGTAATTGAGGGCAGCAAGTACAACAGCCCAGGAATGTTCAAATGCTAACAAGAATGCATCAGGAATGCATAGAACATATAAGAATTCACAGAAATGTGTGGGTGTCTTGTGAGTATTGTAATATTTTATGTTATTATATATTCTGAGGAACCTAATGACCTAAATTAAACAATTCTTTCTCTGCATTTATTAGTTCTTTTTTCAAGTTCCAAGAATACACTGTCTTGCAATTGAAATTTGCGAGCGGTGTGTGCCGCAGGCAGTGGGTGACTAGAATTTCAGTTCCTATGTAACTTCTCTTTCAGTAATGACGTATTGAAGAGATAGTACACAGAACCAGTTGGGAGGTCTAGTGTCTCTGATAGCTTTGAGGCCACTCAGTCGCAAAGTCAGGAGTACCAGGATCTAATGTTTCTCAAGTTATTCAGGGTTTGAAAGTTGTGGAGCTCTGCTGGGATCAGTTTTACTTGAATGATCACTGCCACTTGAAACAGTAGATTCCCAGCAATGTGTAGTTTTTCTCTTGATTTTATTTATCAATGGTCTAGAATACAATTTTAATTATGTGATAGTTACATCAATTTGGGTTGGTTTTTTTTTTTTGTTAATGCATGAAGAAAGAATTTTTAGGTGCTACTTTGAACTCCAGTGATACCTAGAGAAAGTTTTGCACCGTTTCATTTCATGTAGAATGGAGAGGCATAGTACTACTAATATATTTCAAAGGAAAATCTCATGAAATGTAATTAACTCTTTAAGAATCATGAATCCTAAGTGATATTTCCTTCCACAATGTATAGTAATAATATTATTATTTAGCAAGGTTTCAAGAAGTCTTCCAGCCTTCTTACGTTCTGTGCCTGTTAGCAAATATGCCCTTGTTGCTTTCATCACCACCTCACACTTCCTTATTCTGCTCTTCCAGTTTGCAGTGTTTTATATATACTAAAACCCATATGCTGCCCTTAGAGACCTGGAAAACACAAACCTGATCCTTCTGATGTGGAAGTGAAATAAAAGCTTGAGAAAGAGGAGAAAATGAACGAACAAAGGAAATGACCAAGAACAACCGCTCTGAATGGCTGTGGAGGACAGCGATCCTGGCTTTGGGGTGGCTATTTTACTGTTGTCCTTGTGATGAGTCATACGGCCTCTGATGAGCCACAGGACTTTACAGTTTTCCTGCTGAAGGCACTTCTCATGAGGTGAGCCAAAGCAGGCAGCCCTGATGGCTATAGCAAACCTCGGCTCCTGCTGGCCACTAGACAGGTGCTAGGCAGGTAAGGAAGCTGACATCCATAAGATATGTGATCTTCAGTAGAAGCACTGGACCATATCCTACCTCATGTTTCTCTTCCTCTGCCTTCTCTGAAACAAAGTCCCACTTTACATCCCCAAGGAAGAATTTCATCCTAAGGTTTGCTAATGACCACAACAATGGAGGAAGAGAAATGCTCATCTCACTTCCCAAAAGGCCACATCTGCTTCATCTTCAGTGAACTACAAACAGCTCACTCAGCTTTCCCATCAGCACTATAGCACTGCATGTGCAAACAAGCCACTGGGCTAACCAGCAGTACTAAACCCAAGGGTGTCCTGCACATGGCCCTACAACAAAAGGCATCTCACCGCTGCTGCTGCTGCTGCCAAAAAGCAAGGAGAGAAAAATCACAGGAAGAAGAAAAAGTAACAGCCAAATCTGATTTTCTGTTGTTTTGTTTTATGAGTTAATATTAATATTTGGAAATACACCATTGGCTCATAGCAGGCTGAAGAAAGCACAATACAGCTACGTTCTTTTGAAATTTAAGATTCTGTCAAAAATGAAAATTTTTGTGAAATTGGGCAGGATTTGCAATAATTTCTTTTAGGGGAAAAAAAGAGGAAACTCTTCTGATTATGCCAAAACATCCCATACCTGCATTTTTGGAATGAAGCACTTGAACTTTTCACTTAAAAAAAACCCTAACTTTTTAAAATTCAGATATTTAATGTATCAACATTAAAAATTAGGGAAACATTATATTGTGAATGCCCTGAAATTATTGCTTTCTAATTATTTCACTTCATGGAGAACTTGACAACTACTCAGTTTTTACCCAAAGTCAGGTATATTTTTGGATTCTTAAAGTCCTTTTTGAGGCAGAATATCTTTTTTCTGCATAGTGCTAATGTTTTGAAAGGGGAAATGTCAAAACTTGATGAATAGGAGAACAGGGCAATTGTGCCTCTGAAGCTGAATCAGTGTACACCTATTCAAGCAGGGATATCAAACCCTCTGTAACTTGTTTTCCAGGATAATGAGATGCACAGAAGGGAACTTAGATTTGTCTGAATGAAAAATTTTATGAATCTGGTTACATTTTATGGCAAACTCACCCTGAGCTTTGGGTTTCTTATGAAAAATTATTGGAAGTTTATGTGAAAACAAGTGTTGCATTACATACTGCGTCCATCCAAATGCTTTGTTTCCTAACCCCAGAGGTGAAAGCTTGTTTCCACTGGATGGAATTTAATCGAGTCCCAATGAGTTCTTGTCCCTGCTTTTCCACTTGTCCCTTTGTCTTCCTCTAGATCTCTTTTCTGGTAGTGCTATCTGATACTGGTGTGTTTGCCATTCCTGGGTGAAAAAACCTTCTCCTCCTCCTACCTACAGTCATTTGGAACAGACTCCCATTTTTCTGGCTATCTGACTACCTATCTTTTTCCATATGTAACATAAATATAAAAATATGCAAAAGCTCTGTCTTCTGACTTTCTGACTTTCCTCTCCATCTTGTTATTAATTTTTTTATTCTTCTGTAAATATGTTCTTTAACACGGTAAAGCCTTTTGGGATAGACTTTATATTATAGATATTATAAAAATGAATTTACATTGTGTTGTGAATGATGATACTTAGACTCATTTGCCTACATTCTTCCTCTCGACCTATTCCTTTATAAGCAGAGAATAGAGCATACTTAAGGAAAACAAGATTCATTTCCTTTAAAACCTCTAAGCTAATGCATTGTTATGTTTGTTACTGTGGTTTCTGTGAGAGGAGAGGCAGATGGATAACAATGTGGATGCTTCTAAAGCAAAGCATTTCCAAAGCAATACCCAGTGGCTGCTTTCTGCACCAACTCTTCCTTCTTCCTCTTCCTATTTCTGCTTGATTCATGACAAAATGTGAGGCCCTACACAGCAGGAAAAAATAATTTTCCCACATGGAGAAGTTTTACTGATCTTGGAGTTTGATTAGATATGGCTACACTTTCTATTAAACATACCTAAAAGCCTGGGGAAAATCCAGACCTACAGCCACCTGCATGGTGTGAACACAAAGTGATACCGAGTACCGACATCGCTTTCCACTGGGACAACTGCCAGCTGCAGATAGTGTGCACTGGGGTTCACAATACAGCAAGAACCACATCTTTCAGGCAACAACACTGATTTTCAAAGCCAAGTAGACAGTCTAGGTCCATGTTATTACAGTCCTCTGCCTGGGCTGGCCTCCTCACAGCCATGTAAACCAACTGTGAGAGTTGCATATGGAACTACACTTTTCTACCCTGTCTCCTCCAGAACAAAGAAAGGCAAAGGAAAACAATGGCAATGGCTTTGACTGTCCCTTCATCAGCTCACACAAAGTGGAAGTATCCCCAGGCGAGGTCTAGTTTGGTGCACCTTTGTGTGTGTATGAACAGAGAAAGAAGTTGAGTATGTGGTACTCTTTACACCAGTATGTTTTGTCTTTGTTGATGTCCTTTAGAAATGAGACAACTACCATGAAGCAGACATAAATTCTGATGCTAAAAGTCTACGATCCAAAAAATCTGTGTCTTTTAATAACTTGAAAATTAAGAGACTTCTTTTTTAAAACCATGATCACCAATATGTGTTACCTAATCAGTCTCCAAGATCTTGTCACTAGCCAGACTAATAATCTAATACTCTTTCAACAGTCTTCACAATAATGGATATATTTTCAGCTTTCTCAGGTCGGGCAACTTATCAAAGAGAACTATGTGGCTCCATGCAGAGCTGCAAGTGATTCTTAGCAGCTTACCCTACAGTACCTCATGCAGGGACTTGTGCTACATTCCCGTGGATTATGGACTTCATCAGAATCTTTGAAATGAAGTAGCTATCCAATATAAGCAGGGATCTCACAGGCAACTAAAACTTTATTGACACTGAGGAAGTGCACACATTTATTTATTAAATAAGAAAATGTCTTATACACATGCGCGAAGACACACGAACACACACATGCCATCGGAGAACATGGGGATAAAGAAATCTGCAACATTATCACCTGAGATAGAAGAGATGAGGGAAAGAGACTTCTATGCACCACACTTACTTTACTCCTGTTTTTCATTATGTGGATAACCTTAGAATGGTTCTTGTTAGCATTTAGAAAAAGGGAAAAATCCAGCCTCCTGCAGGGGAGCTATTATTGCTAGAATGTACTAGCATTATCTTGCTTATGGGGGGGCATATTGTTTATGCAGTCTATTTATCAGCGTAGGAATACATCTACCAATATAGCAATATCTTTGCAGTAATGGCATACAAGAATGAAAGAATTTTCATGAACAGAGAGTTCCTGCCTGTAGCATGTACATCTGAGATACTAAAGGATTATTTACCTATCATTAAGATATGGATTTTTTTATCTAGTCCAGTTTTTCTTGCAGCCGAAATCATATTAAACTCTCTAGCTATTATATCTAACATCCATTGGGCACCTTTTCATTCTGGGTAACCTAATATAAATGAAGAAAATAAATCCACGTCAATTTGTTGAGCTGCCTTTTCCCCCCTCCTCCTCCTCCTTTTCCTGAATTAAATTCACATAATAAAATCCAAGGGTTGCATTTCACTCACATCCGCTTCAATTAACGTGCATGACATTGTATGAAATTTTTAATGGAAGAAAAAAGCTAAAACATAATATTTTTAAACCATTGTGTAGGGTAAAAATGCTGCATACAACACAATGTGCTTATATATTGCACAACAGTCAGTTGGGCTTTAAAATTCAGCATAAGCCTGCCCAGTGTTCCATTTCTCTCATATTTTCCCATTACAGGATGTCTTTTAAGATATTTTAGTGATTTTAATTTAATGAAATATTATTCTATGATGTTGCTTTAGGAAGTGTTTACTTGTTTGAAACAACCAGGACTAGTAATAACAGAAGCATTAATAATAATAGTCATATAATGGCTGAAGAATGCAGTCAGTTAAGAGACTCTAAAGCAGTATTTTTTTCTCTCAGATAATGGATTTCTGTTCAATGGTAAATTTATTTATTTATTTGTAAGATTACTTGTTTTTAAATTTCCCATTTCTGCTAAAAGACTAAGGGTAGTTTTGATATTGATAGAAAAATTTCACTAGAAAATTGCAAACAATGCAAAAAGTTGGTTTGTTAATATTTTTCACAAAAAATGTTTTGTGACAATATCAGGTGAGGAGTAGGTGCAAAAAATGACTGTATTAATCCATTAACTGTATGTGCAAATCAGTTCATTTACATAGTCTTTCTGGTACCCTAATTTAGTGTATCCCCCATCTAATGGAGATGAGTCAAACAGGCCATAATAACACAGAGACACCTGATTACAAATTACATTCTGCCTCCCTTCTGAAGTTTGTGGTGTTTGGCATCTCAGAGTAGCGATGGGGAAGCAGAGGGAGAATGAAGCTACACGTGCTACACACAAGACACCTACAGCTAGAAAATAATCTAAATTGTCTCTTGTGTCTCACCTTAAGTTGGTTGAAAAATTGTCCTATGCCTTATAAAGGCATCATCCTCTATGCTTTTATGCAACTGGAGCAAGAAGAAATCATAGTTATAGTCAGAGGCATCTGTTCCTGCAGGTGAATAACGTGGAAGCAGGTATTTTGTTTGCTTCATGGATTAATCTGCTAAGTCATGAGTTTTTCCAGCTAGGTATCTCACATGTTGGCTTCAACCCACCTGAAATA